CGAGACGGGCTGTGATTGGTTCAAAGGGACTCTCAGGTGACGAGACGGGCTGTGATTGGTTCAAAGGGACTCTCAGGTGATGTGATAGGCTGCGATTGGTCCACATATAAAACTCATTAATTGGTTGAACCAACCGCAGCCTCATCCAGTTCCTATATTTTGTTTAAACTGTGTTCTTCTGGCTGAAGTTCAGCTCCTGAACGTCTCTGTCTTTATTTGGACCACAAAGTCCTGTATCGTTGAACATCTTTGACGTGTTCATGCCGTCTGTCGGCTGAGTGCTGGACGATCACCAGTGGTCTTTCTGGGCCCTCCACAGCAGGACCAATGGCTTTTACAGACCAGTACTAAGGACTGTGGAGCGGTCTGAAGAAGTTTGCAATGGGAACTCTGATACGGTCGGTCAGTTCGGTTCTTCACGTGACGTTCACCAACGAGGAGAACTGGAACGGTCCAGACCTGTTGGTGTGGACCGATCGGCACCTCATACATCACCGCAGAGTGTTCATGAGAGAGACCCAACACCCAGAGGTCTACAGACTGAGAGGAAAACGAGATGAACTTTAAATGGTTTTTAGAAGTGAAGTGGTCAAACCAGCTGAGAGTCTGAAGAGATAAAGACCGGGTCAGGAGTTCAGTTCTGCTTCAAGTAATGTTTGGAGTGTATTTGTGTGAAAAGATTAAGAAAAAAGACGGACATCTTTTAAATTTTTATTTTTTTAATTTGTTTTTAAGCGTCGACAGCGGGAGAAATAAACATTAATAAATTATTTCCAGTCATCAGAGATCCAGTTTCAGCTGGTTCTTGTTAAAATAAGTTAAACGCGAGTTAATCCTGTTTACGATCAGGTAAATAATTTGACCCTGCTGATCAGTGAGGATTATAATTTTCCGATTCTAATTAAATGCGACGTGTTTTCCGTCTCCTGCCAGACGTTCAGTTTCTCTCTCCCGCTCTCCAGACAAAGCTTCTCCCAGAAGATCTCCTCGTAAAAGGAACCAGAAACGTTCGGCCGGCTCAGACGAGTGACGGACGCCGCGGCGCCGACCGGCCCGTCATCACGAGGAGGAGGAGGAGCTCTGAAGTGAGCGCGCTCCGTCTGCGGAGGAACTTCACCCGGTGCCAAGCCCAGCGACGGCTGGTTCTGCTGCAACTTTAAGAACTGCTGAACACGAAACTCCTTTAGTTTGATTTTGCGACGAGACAAACGGTTTAATCTGAAACTTCTCGGTTTTTCTTTAAAGATTATTTTTTTGTTTGTTTTTAAGGTTCAAGACCTGCTGATCTTTGTGTCGGACGGTACTGATTGTGTTTCTGTTGGTTCTGGTGTCGGGCTCCAACACTTTCATGGATTTACAGGAAATTAAAGTTTATTTTATATTTGAATCTGGTGTCTTTAAACGCGTTTCTGACAGGAAACCTTTGTTTGCAGCCTGAGGTCAGATTAAACTCCGGAGTTAAACGCAGATTAAGTCTTTGCTTGTAACTATTCTGGTTCTCCTGGTCGCTCACTGCCGTCCTGGTAAACTTTGGTTCGATGGTGGTTCGGAGGCACTCCGGAGAAAAGTTTTTACTTTTTTTAGTTTTTAGAACAAAGTAGGAATTTAAAGCTCTACAAGAGCCTAAAGTTTTCAGAACGAACGAACTGAACACTGATCCTGAACACTTTTATTGTGAAGGGTTTAAGGAAGTTGTGCTGCAGGAGTAACGAGCTGCACCTCGGGCTGCCTGATGCGTTTTGTAATTTACCCAGAATCCTCTGCTACAGTGAGAGAAACCCCAGTCGGGTTCTGAGAACTAGAGGGGATGTACAACTGACAGTTTTACAGACATTGACCTGGAGGTTGATGTGAACTTTGTCATGTAAGAAGCAAAAAAAAAAAAAACTTTAATTTTAGACGTTTGATTGTTTTTACTTTAATCTGAAAACTTCTGAGTCGCCTCTTTGTGAAACAGGAGTCCAGTTTTCAGTCGGACCGCAGGAATTAACCAGAATATTTAACGATATTTTCCTGACCTCAGCAGCCTCGCTCTGCTTTCATCAACATTTCCTGCTGTTAAATCTTGTTTTAGGTAAAACAAGTTCCGGACTATGTTAAAACAGGAACAGTTTTCTTATGCATTTGTTTTTTAGTGGCACAGAAAGTGGCTGCAGCCCGACGGAGAACCTAAAAAAGTAACGCTTGTTTCCTCCAGCTGAGCACATCTGGATCAACAGGGTTTATTTAAATCGTCGCTGACGTTTTCTTCACGAGTTTAGACCTGAAAACTGAAACGTTTCCGTTGTTTTTTTGGGTTTTTTTGTAAATTTAACTTCTGTCTTTTTGTGTTTAAAATCAGATCGGTTTTACTGGAATGTTTTTTTGTTTGTTTGTAAAGGTGTTGAAGTGGCCGAAGCACTGGTGTAAATACTGTCTGATGGACGATGAATTCAGAGTGAAATCTTGCAGCTGATTAAAAAAACTGATCGGTCCTAAACGCGTTTTATTAGCTGTTTTCTTTGCTTCACCACTGGGGGCGCTGTTTCCTTTGACTTTTCTCCAGAGTTGAGTTTATGACGGAAGTGTTTATTTTGTTTTTCTGCAGAAACTAAAACTGTTGAAACCACTCCTAACAGCCTCAGGAAGCTGAGCTCATTAATGCTTTTGATTTTTTTTTTGTTTTTTTGATAAAACGTCCTGTTGTCCAATAATTCAAACTCTTAATTCGCTTTCAGACATGCAGAAAAATAAAGTTTGAGTTTGCTGTAGAACTGTAGCCGTTTTTGTTTCTGTTCAAATTTAAGATGTATTCAGGATTCCTAATGTAAACTACGTTATTCTAAATATTTTACAGGTAACTGATTATTCCTCCCAACAGGCCGTAGACTTTGCGTTTGACTTCCTGAAGTGGTAATGGAGATAAATTTGGCTGCTTTCTGCAGTTTTGCCACTAGATGGCGATACATTGAGCATATTTTGATTTTATTTTTGACGTAGGGAAAACTTGTTAACGGTGCAAAATGTAAAAGTTGTTAAATTTTGCTATTACAGTGCCTTGCGAAAGTATTCGGCCCGTTTTGAACTTTTCAACCTTTTGCTACATTTCAGGCTTCAAACATAAAGATATAAAATTTTAATTTTTTGTGAAGAATCAACAACAAGTGGGACACAATCGTTAAGTGGAATAAAATTTATTGGATGTGTCAAACTTTTTTAACAAATAAAAAACTGAAAAGTGGGGCGTGCAATATTATTGGGCCCCTTTACTTTCAGTGCAGCAAACTCACTCCAGAAGTTCAGTGAGGATCTATGGATGATCCAATGTTGTCCCAAATGACTGTGATGATAAATAGAATCCACCTGTGTGTAATCAAGTCTCCGTATAAATGCACCTGCTCTGTGATAGTCTCAGGGTTCTGTTCAAAGCGCAGAGAGCATCATGAAGACCAAGGAACACACCAGGCAGGTCCGAGATACTGTTGTGGAGAAGTTTAAAGCCGGATTTGGATACAAAAAGATTTCCCAAGCTTTAAACATCCCAAGGAGCACTTTGCAAGCAATCATATTGAAATGGAAGGAGTATCAGATCACTGCAAATCTACCAAGACCCGGCCGTCCCTCTAAACTTTCATCTGGAACAAGGAGAAGACTGATCAGAGATGCAACCAAGAGGCCCATGATCACTCTGGATGAACTGCAGAGATCTACAGCTGAGGTGGGAGAGTCTGTCCATAGGACAACAATCAGTCGTACACTGCACAAATCTGGCCTTTATGGAAGAGTGGCAAGAAGAAAG